TTTTTTCAGCTTCTCACCTCGCGCTTTGCTCCTTTCGCGTGTCCAACATTTCAGCATTTTATTATAAATATTAAAATTAATCACTCAGCTAAGACGGGGGGGGGGAAGGGAGCCAGGGAAAGAGCAGGACCCGGACTCGGACTCGGTTTCGGTCAACGAAAATGTGTTCACCATTCGGAATGGTCCTTTAATTAGCCCGTTTCAAGCGGAATGTGACGGTTGATTACCGCTCAGATACCCCTTTCAGCTGTGCCAAAGGATCGTGCTGGAACCGCCCTTTTGTTTTGGCCTGGCCTTTGTAGAACTTGGAGTATCCGAATAAGATCGTGTATGCTGTGCATCGAATCACATAAAGGAGACACTTTCTTCTTCACTATCTAGGGTATTCCATTGCCCCTTAGACGCCCTCCCTTCTATGAGTTTTCGTGTGAAGAAACTCAAGAAGACGGACCTTTTGGCCCCTTCCCCTCTACGCGCTCGGATACTTGCGTGTATCGTAGTGTCAATGTGTCCCTGCCTTGTTTATTTGCCTTTTAATAGGGGCCTGTATTTCAGGCGGCGTGTTTTTTTATATCGCACTGGCAACACGCGACGCATACGCAATTTTCCCGCCTCAAATGAGGCTGTGGAATTTGGTCGACGGTAATGAAAACTATGCCAGTCAAGCAGGGATCAGAAAACCAATGCAGTACTTTTGTCAAATCAGCCGGGGCAGTCGGGGCAGTCGGGGCAGTCGGGGCAGTTGGGGCAGCCGGGGCAGTTGGGGCAGACGGAAACGGGGCCAATCTCCGTCAGCTCAACCGAACTCAATTGGGCATGGCGATGGCCAAGTTCTGGTTTTATTTTCATTTTCATTTGCCAAACGGGGCCACTTGAATGCGCAATGAAGCTGCCACCCAGAGACAGTCAGAGTCGGAGCTGGAGCTGGAGCCAGCAGCCACCAAAAAACAACAAGTTTCAGGGGAGCAAGAGAGCTCCAGTCGAACAAATTTTGAATTTTTGCATAAATTAAACGCGCTATTCGGTTATTTTCGTTGCAACATTTAAGCAATTTCCGTGACTATCGCTGGAGATTTGTTGCCACAGAATCTGCACTGGAAATCCGATGCTCAAAATTCATAGAACGAGAACGGCGACGAGTACGAGTACGAGTAGGAGAAAGGCCCAAAGAGAGGCCTGGGAGGGAATGAAAAGTGCAACAGCCCCACTCGAGCTTATTGTTGACATTAAGCGCCGCCAGGCTGATCTGCCCCCACCACCCAGCATCCACCCCCACCCCACAGAGAATCCCCATCCCAGACACAATCCTAGTGTTAATTAAGCTTACAGAACGAGGACCAGAAACGGCACAGGCAACGGGACAGGCAGCGGCAGGGGCAACGGCAGGGGCAGCGGCTGCGGCTGCGGCATAAAGCTGTTAAGTTTCTGTCCTGCCCTGGGCCTGTCCGCTGTTGTTTTAGCTGGCGGCAGCTTAATTATTTTCATGATTTTTCCATTTACAGTTTTACGTTCACATTTCCCGTCCGCTTTTCCTTTTGTCGAGTGTTTTTGGTTGTTTGTGGTCATTTCATTATATTAAATCAATTAATTTCCCCCCGTTTTTTACTCTGCATTTATGTTTTATTATTGTCGAGCGTGTCACTGAAATGCTAAATGGCTGGCCACTGAGATTATTTGCATATTTCAGATTTCATTGTGCAAGATTGCAGTCGGTTTGGGAATCCTTTTTTCAATCGAAATTTGCCGAAACTAATTTGATTTTATTTAAATTTGATGAGCCAATGCACCGATGAACCGGTGTTTAGTTTGCATACCTCCCAAATATGTATATGTAAATGGAAATAAATTGTTAAAACGAATGACATTTTAGCTTTAATTAGCCACGCCCCATTACATTTTTTCTTTTTGTATTGCTAACACATAAATATAAATATAAATATATCATGACTCAATTCCATTTTGCCCAACGGTTTTTGTAGACTTGTTTCGATTGAAAACTTTTAAAAGCTCGCTTTAATTTAATTTAATTTCATTAAAACGAACTTTTTGCGGGCCAAAACCAGAATAAACGAGAGAACAAATGAATGCAAAAAATAAAACTAAGACCAAAAAATACAAGATTTTGTCGGCTTTTGTTTTGATAAGCTCTGACTGGAGCGCCATATATGTATGTAGCACAGCTCCAGGTCCATATAGTACGAGCTTGTGTGTTTGCAGTTGGCTTTTTGTTGAATCGGGAAAATTTTGCATGATTACTCTTTTTATTTCTGTTTTGGCAGGGGAACTCTTTCTTTAATGGGATTTTTTTGTTTAAGCTAGCGTAGATTATTTGCCGAATGAGATAGCAAATCTGGAATCCGCCCAGTGGCGCTAAGCGGTTGCTAAGGTGAGTTTTCTTCACTGAATGTGGCCATAAATTCGATGTTGGGCTTTCATCAATCAGTTTTTGGAATATTACTCATACGCCGAGTGGCTTGTATCTATAGAACACTGCTAAAAATAGTTTGAATAGTGTGAATGTGTGTATATGCTGAGAGCGTGGAGCAATTTAAACGGCCTAGATTTCGTGGACAGCTGGTTGAATGCTCGCTCGCAATCCCGCACTCACAGAAATACTCATACTCACACTCATACTCATACTCGTACTCGTACGCTGAAAGCATCACGAGTTCTATTTTTCAATTATTTGTGAAAATTTTGAGGTCTCCCATCCTCCTTCTCCTCCTCCTCCTCGCACACAGGTCTTTCCGAGGAATTCCCCCATTATAACACCTTATCAGTTGCCTTATCTCCCCCCCTAATTCGCTCTGAAGCTGTTGGGTTTTGACCTTTTGGCCCAAAACATCACTAAGCTCTTTTCTGGGAAAGCCAATCATTATTTAAATAATGCTTTTAGTATTCTGCTTTCTGTGCAGTTCGTGTGGATATGCAAAATCTTGGGACAATGCATGGATGAATTAATATGCAGCATTTCGAAGGGGAGTTAAATGGAAAAACAAGCTGCGTGGTGAATGAAATTTACTTTATACTTATTATATTTATTTTATAAACTTTGGTATTCTTATTAAGTACTAGGAATATTCAAGTTTGGCTGTATTTGATAATATTATCACTTTTGTTTTTGCATTCAAAAAAAAAAAAAAAAAAATGTATAGCCAATATCTTTTATAAACATACATATTCTTTATATTAAAAAAAAAATACTAATTTAAAGAAAATATTGTTTTCTAATCAGTATACAATATTCCTTTTCTATATGCATTTTATTGATATTAATTTAATTTTCTTTCAGGCTCTGTAATGCTCTTCCACTTGACACATTCCTTTGATCACTTCTTACGGGCTCTTCTCGATTCTGGCTGGCAGAACCGCAGAGCTTTTCCAATTAGTTTAATGCATCATTTTGTCTTTTCGGCAGGAAGCCAAGGAAAACTCTTTCATACACATACTGCACGTCTATATAGTGCATATATGCATAAGTATATACTATGTATTTTGTTTAGACAGGCACAAGCCAAGTTTGTAACCACTTCATAACACTCGACGGCAAATGTCTTCGCTTGCATTCGTGCTTTTTGGCATTTTGCTTTTTGGTTTCTCTGTTGCTGATGTTGTTTTTATATAAACAAGAAATGCGGCTACAACAAAACAAAAAATATATTTTACGGCTTGGTAGTGCCGTTGGAAAAGTTTATTTCGTTTTTGGCTCTTTAGTTGGCTTTTCCTATTTTCGTTCCGCAGACAAAACGGCGGCGGGCACGTCTTCCGGTTGAGAACGGAATCGGAATTATAACTAGGCGAAATTTGATTACGGTGGATGTCAGAGAGTCGGAATGGGTATGGGAATTGCAGAACTTGTTAATTTGAATGGAAACTGAAGGGAAACACAGACACAGACACAGTTAGGGGAACAGAACCAGACACCCAGACACCCAGGCAGATGGATAGACAGATGGATGATTGCTCGGCGGCAATTGCAGAGGAATTCCTCTCAAAATGCCAATAGATCGAGCCCAATAGAGCGCTCGATGCAATTATCTGAGTATCTGAGTATCTGAGGCTGGTTGAGACACGCGAGGTCGAACTTACAGATGGATACTCCCACACGCCACACGGCACAGGGCACACGGAGGCAGAAACCACACGAAAACTGACTTCCGCGGAGGAGATTTTCTCGAAGTCCGAACCGAAACCGAACCGAACCGAAACGAAACGAAGCGAACCGCACGTGGCGACAGTCAAGCAGCAACTGAATTCAGCCTCAGCTGGAGAACGGCAGAGGCAGAGACAGAAGCAGAGCGTTCAGCCAGAGCTGGCGGAGCAGAGCGGAATCGGCTCAGAGCGAAACCTGCCGTGAGTGGAAAGCCGGCGAAAGAGCATAGCAAAACAGAACAGCGAGGGCCCAGAGAGAGTGGGCTCGCGCAACAGGTTGCTCTTCTGGTCATTTAGCCTCGTTAAGAGTGCACGACCATGCTCCTCTTTGGGTCACACTCTGCGTATGGGCGATGTGCATACATATGTACATATGTACGTATGGGTATCGGTGTGCTGGTGCGCGTGTGTGTGCGTGCCGGCAAATCGCCGACAAATTGTTCAGAAAGTGCACATGACTCGGATTACGAAATGGGTTTGTCTTAGCCTCCAGCTCCTGCTCAAGCTCCAGCTCCTGCCTTGGCCGTCTCGTCCAGCTGTGGCCTGTCAAAGTTCCTACACAAACAATAATTGTACAATGGAGAGACCAGCGCAGAACTGGGCATAGATCTAAATACTCGTAAGTATGGGATTTGTAGTCCGGTCTCCGGCTCTTGTATAATTTATACCGATTATATAATTAAGGATTTTCAACGTCTAAGGACTAGTTTGTGCTAACAATGGGAAAGTCAAGGAAACTTGCTGGTCGTTCGAGCCATGAGCGAAGCGAGTATAAAAACTGGAGTGGCCAAAGTCCTTTCTATTAATTTCTGCATTCAAACCCAAATTTTAATACAAATTAATACGAAAAAAATAACACAAATTTGAAAACATAGTAGGTGTGTATAGAATTGTCAGCGTGTCTGTCGTCAACGGTGTAGCAGCGTCTATTCAGAAGAAAGCTCAGGAGAAGCAGAAGGCTCTGCAACAGGCTGAGGGTCCGAGTCTGGATGGGGAACTTCCTCTGGAGCTGGAGCAGAGTCCAATGGGATGATCGTTTCAGATTCCAGACGTTGAGCCACGGATGCATATACTGGATTGGATAGAGACGCAACGACATTGTCTACCAATATATTGTAAATATCCTTGACAACATACGCCACATCGGCTGGCGCTGGGTCACGGATCGAGGCCAGGGCATTTTTAACAGAAATATTTATCACCTTCAGCTGATTGTTCATATCCTGTATTTTCCGGAGACTCTCGCGGGATTTCACTAGGGCAGCACTGATGCGATCCAACAGGGCCTGATCCTCGATACGCCTGTTGGCCGCATTCTCCCGAAGACATTCCAGCATCATGAAGCGGTTGCTGATATTCATAGGCATCTTGCGTACTTGTGAATTCACAGAATACACAGAATACACACAAAATATAATATTTTTTTATTTTTATTTAAATGTAGGACTATAACTTGTTATTCCGTACGAGCTGGGGCTTATACTGATAGTTTCAAATGTTGGATGCCTAGGGGGAGGGTGAAGGAGAAACTGTAGCCTGCTGGGTTTGTTGCTCAATTAGATGATTGTCATCAATTATAATAATTAACTGAGTAAGCCGATTAGGTGGCTTATCAATTAAACATTATGAGAGTTTCCCACAGGCCACACCTCTCCTCCTCTACCGGCAGGCGAAAAATCAATGTCGCAATAAACATAATCGTCATTATCCTATTTAATGCTGCTCAAGAGGCCGAGGGACACCACAGTACACCACAGTACACCAGAGGAAGGACACTTTTATGATGGCATCGTTGGCTTCAGCTTCCGCCTCCGCCTCCGCCACTGCCTCTGCTTCTGATTCTGATTCTGATTCTGCTTGGTGGTGCATTCATAATTGATCGACCTGTGGGCACCAGCGTGTCCTTTGGTACGGGATAGGCGATTAAGCAAAGTGAAGACTAAGAGCTTTAGTATCATTTCGCTTGGTGCCCCAACCAAAGGGATTCCTTTGCCACATTACCTAAATCTCTTTATCCGTAGCCCTTTTATTTCATTCAATTTTAAATGTGCCAGAATGGTGGAAAAAATCCTTTGTTAATTGGTCAAAGTCCTTGATTTTCCCTCAAGAGGGGGACTTGAAGATGGGGGCCCAAGAAGAGAGTATAATAAAATCAGTGTGCATGCTCGGCTCTATAGCTGAGGTGTCACTATACCATTTGGCCATGGGATTGATGATAGGTCAAGAAGTAGCCAGAAAAGATGCTTGGAATGTTGCGTGGTGGTATGTTTTATTTATCGTCTAAGAGTAGACGTTCGAGAGTATATGAACATCGGTGCGACGAAATTATATTCCCTAATGGTTTCTAATTAGATTAATAGGCAAATAATACTGGCCCGACTGCCCCGGCCGCCTTGCGGTCTAGGTCAGTGTCAATATGATAAGGGTGTAGTGGGGTTGGTAACTGCCTTTTCTGCTCTGTCAGCTGGTCTAAGAAGGCAGAAGGAAGCTAAGCTGAGAGGAGTCACAATGCGAAGCTTAAGATTTGGCCTTAATTGAACGCCAGAAAGGGATCAACTTTAAAAGGGAGCTCGGCACATCGAAAAGTCATCAAGTGGAGTGGCAACAGTTAATAAATAATTTACTTTAGGCCTCTCCAAAGAGCGAGAAAGCACACACTTTAATTTGAATATGCCCAAAACATCATTATTTTGGTTGCAAACTAGTTAGCTTTTCCCCCCATAGCTCGCCCCAGCAGCCATGATGTAAATGGGAAATTCTATCAATTTTCCATTCAATCATTTCTTCCACCGGCGCTCCTAAGCCGACTATGCAAATTGAAGTCAAGAGGCATTAAGTCGAATCCCGAAACTAAAATGCTACTCGATGACACAATTGTCGGGGCTTTATCGGCTTATTCCTATGCATGACTGCAGACACTCACACAGACCCATAATCTGGTATCGCAAAGGAAAAAGCTTTGCGAATTTTCCACAGTTCTCTCCACATTTTCTAGCTGGTGTCGAACTCATGTGCATACATGCACACACATATCAGATAAACCATCTTTTTGGAAACACTGTTTCAAAGTAGTACACTTTGGCTTTAACTGGAAGCTGACATCATGCAGCAATGCCTAAAGTATTTTCGCCTGGCTGGGGAGCATGACAGGAGTACACACTATAATCGTTTAAAGGACACGAAACGTTCTGGTTTCGATAGACTAAACTGCTCATCGATTCAGTGAGGAGAGCTGTGCGTAAAATTCCACATACTCTCAGCTCATATTCGTTCTTATCATTTCTTTTCATTCATTTTTATTTTATCTGCAGAAAATGTGAATGGCAATCACCTTCCGACATCTCCAAGCTTTTAATTGACAAATTTAAGCCGCCCTTTGTGGACCTTGCCAATGTCATTGCCAAGGGTTGTAGTTCACTTCCGACAAAATACCATAGCCTGTACACGTTTTCTCTTTAAGCCAAACGTAGAACGGAATTGACAGCAGGCCGAAATTGGCTCCAGAATTGCAGTTAACCATTCTCTATTCCAGCCATCCAGCCATCCAGCTGTCCTGCCAGCCCAGTTTGAAATTGATGTGCGGTTGAAAGGTGATTTATTGCGACCAATGAAGGAAAGGACTCTCCCTCTCTCTCTCTCTCTCTCTCTCTCTCTCTGACTTTCTCTGTCTATCTGTCTGTCTGTCTGGCTTTGTATTTCGGCCAACAAGTTTCGGTTAGGTTTTCATTATATTTTATTTTATTTTATTTTGTAATTCAATCAAGCAAACCTTTTTCAGCTATTTCAGCACTTCCAGCATTATTGATGATGAACACCGAATACTAAAGGCTAAATGTCACAAAAGAGAGAGGTTCAGATAGGTCAATAATTTATAGCATAATATCGGCTACATGCATACTGTGGGTACGTGTATGAGTTCGAATCGAATAAGCCCGCCAAAATGGAAAATCAGTAAGGAATCCAACTTCGGTTCGCCTCAGTTTAAATGCCCTCTAAATCTGTATATTTCGTAACTGAGGAAGCTATGAGTTATGCAAAAACTTTGGAGAAACCGCGATCCTTTGGTTAGATTATCCCTGGCAACAAAACAGTTTTCCTCCAAATAACTTGGGATCGGAGATGCTTCTTCTTGTTCGTTGGCCTCCGCAGCGATAAAATAATAATATAATACAATAAAAACCAAGGAGTATATAAAGTTTTCCGCCTCACTTCACTCCAATGAAACTTGATGGAATGCTCGTAAGTCATTTGACAGTCTAAATAGCTTTCGACCCAAATCAATATAAAAATGCCAGCTATAAAAGAGAAGCACGAAATGCCAAACAATCTTTTATGAAAATTTTACACTCGACCGAGCATTTTCTATTAATTTTTCGGGACCATGAGTGGATAAAGTGATTGAAGATGTTGAAAAATGTTTGCCTTAAAGTTGTGTAGTTGTGTTGGAATAAAAAGTTGCCTGGCATCGCGGAGATTGCCTTGAACTTTACTCATTATCCCTACTATTAACTGTCGCTCTACAGCCGTGTCGCAATACTCGCTAGCAGAGCTGGAAGCTGGAGCTCGACTCAACTATGCCAACTACTTACAAAAGTTTCCCCGACTCCCCCAGGGCACACTCGCAACACCTATCATTTGCATCTGTCTTTCACCGCTGTCTCACGGACACTTCCTCTTGGGTGTCAGAGGCATCCATATCCGTGTCTGTGTCCGTGTCTGTGGCCGTGTCCGTGGCCGTGTCCGTGTGCGTGTCACTTGGCAGCCATCGCAAGTCAAACACGAAAAGTTCGATTGCATTTTTGGTGGTTAGGTGGTTTGGTGGTTGGGTGGTTGGGTGGTTGGGAGGCTTTGCTTTCCGCCTCTTCACTTGTGTGTGGCACGGCACGTGTCTGCGGAAAGACGCATACGCCACGTTGCCACGCGAATCGTTGACTAATTAAACTAATCTCTCCGCCTGCCTCGATGGCTGAGCAAACACCTTGAGCTGAAATTATTCCGGATTGCCTCCCCTGCTGTGCTGTGCTGCGCTACTCGTCTGTTTCCCAGAGCGCAGCACAAAAGTATATTTCACTTTTATTTCCAACATTTGCTGTGATTTCAGTTTCGCTTTCCCCATTTTTCAGGGGTTTTCCCGCTTTGCAATTTAATTTTTATGCTTTTCTTTTTTCCAGCTTACTCGCCATGTTTGCGTAGCTGAAATTGTTTTCCATTTGAGGTTGTCTGCCTCGCCTCGCTCCGCCCCCGCCCTCGGGGAGTCGAAAGTCGGGATGCCAGAAGGAAGCACAAGAGATATAGGGCTGGGGACGGTTTAGAGTTGCAATTTGGGGTTCCCTGTTGGGTATCTGTTTCAAGTGGCACAGGGCCCACAACCTGTGCGATGATAACGAGTAAATGCTGCTCTGGGCATTGGGAATTGCATTGGGTTGGCCGCATAATTCATCCTTCTATTTACTAGGGGTATTCGCTGTTTTGGATAAGCCCCGCGACTGTAGAAAGTAATCGGGGAGGCTCAAGTGTTCTGCGAGTGCTCTCTAAAAATGTCCTACCATGCGAACTTTCGTTGTAGGAACTTGTATTTTAAATATCCTTTTAGATTTCCGACTCTATAAGGCGTTATGGGTCTTAATTTCATGTGGAGGTGTTCTGCGGGAAGACACTCTCTCTTGCTAGTGCTGGAACTGTTCAGCCTACCCTTTCTTTTAATGAACGCACCATGCAAATCGATTGGTGGTCTCTACTCCAAGAGAACCCAGACCTTTCTGCTGTAGGTGGGGGCCCGTTAGTACAACTTGGCCGACCGGTGGCACAGCAATGTGGACCGCAACAAACGTGACAAAAATGAAACCAAAGGTGAGTTCAATGAATCGGGCAGATGTCTACATAGACGGAGGGGGAGAGGGAGAGAGAGAGAGAGCGAGAGCCTCACTAAAAACTGCCAATGTCATGCACAGATATCGTTGAAGTCGCTGCTGCTTCTCTTATCAGCAATTACGGAGGCGAGCTCTGGCAAGTACCGCAACAACGATGATAGAGGAATAATCTATGACTATGCCAACAGTTCCAGCCTCATGCCGGGAAACATCACAAGTGCGGTGGACAAGGAGTGCCATGACTTCAACCAGATAGCGAGATGGATCAACCTCCAGGTGGTGCTGAACGGGAAGGTAACGCGGTTCAATCAGCGTCTGGGCAAACTGCTAGTCGGCCTCAACAACACGGCCCCGGTGGAGCACTGCTGCTTCTACGAGAAGACCACGATGAAGAAGATCGTGGACTATTTAAACAGCGTGGCCAAAGACCAAGCTAGCTCGACGGAGGTGAAGTTAAACCCCCTCAAGCTGGTCGGGGAGTTGGGCCAGGACCTGGACAACATTCTGGGCCAGATGGGAAAGCTCATTAACCAGGACATAAAGAGCTGTTGTGACCAGCTGGCTGAGGGCCTCAAGAAACAGAAAGCGGATCTGGGGAAAAACTTGGAGGAGCTTCGGAGGAAGCTGGACAAAGCTAATGGAGAGCAAGGCAAGGCGGCGGAGGAGCTGAAGAAAAAGCAAGCAGACCTGGAGGAGCAACTGGCGGATTTACGGGAGCAGATGGAAAAGATTGAGGAGAAATTAAGAAAGAGCGGAGAAGGTGTCGGCACCAAATGTTGCGCGGAACTCGGTGAGAAGCTCCAAGATTTAGAGGGCCAAGCTAAGAAGGACAAGACTGAAGCTATCGACAAGGCCAAGGAGATTGACAAAAAGCTAGAGGATCTCACAGAAGGACAAAAGGATCAGGACGACAGACTGAAGGACATCCAGAAGAAAATGGACGATAGACTGAAGGATATAGCGAGCGCCATTGACATGTGCAAAGAGAACTGCGGCAATGGATCGACTGGAGGATCAAACGCAAGCACTTCCGACTTGGAAACGAGAGTTGAAGCCCTACGGAAATTAGTCGAGGATCTTTCCAAAAGGATTGCTGATCTGAGTCCTTCGGAAGGGTCTTCCGGCATTAAAGAGAAAATAAAATCTTGTCAAGAGATTGGAAAACTGCTAGCCACCATAGAAACTATGCTTCAGCAGGCTATTAAAGGACAGAATCCAGCGGGAGAATCAGCCGATAGCAGTAAAAATGGGCTAAAAAAGGGAAACAATCTCGAAAAGCAGGTGAAAGACCTGCAGATACAAGTAGACAGGTCCAGGCACTGCTGTAAGTTCCTCGATGGTATCGGGAATGATGCGGATAACCTAAGCAGTAATGTCGAAAAAACAAATAAAACCTATACCGATCACATTAGTGATTTGGAAAAGCAAACGGGGGACCTCAAAAAAAGGGTGGATGAAGCTCTGGAAAAGATAAAGGCGCTTGGATCCCAAAAAGACTCTGACAATGGCAGTGGCAATGATGACCTGCTGACGGATCTGGACAGACTCCAACAGAATCTGCACAACTCCACGAAAGATATTGAAAATCTTCAGACTCAGCTGGATAATATGATGGCTCACATTGCGGTGCTAACGAAAACCATCAAGGATAGGTTCGCCATGACAGAAGATCTCAACAGCCGGCTGCTTCGCTTGGAGGAAGCTGTCGAAGACCTGAGGAAGGATATTGATAAGACGCTGAAGGTAGTCCAGCGCATTAAGGACCTGGAGAAACTCCTCGATGATGCGTTGGAAAGGCAAAAAAAACTGGAGATCCAGGTGAAGAGTTGCCTTACCAAGTGCAAGGCCATGGACTCGATAGATGATCTCATTGATCGCATTGAGGATCTGGAGAGGGCGATCAAGCCCCAAGAAACAACCACAGAGAAGCAGCCACGGAGTACGACGCGAGCCACAACGAGGGTAGAGGCCTGGGTGGGCGGGATCGACGTGGTGACCCCATTCGTTCAGCCAAATTAAATGTTCGTATTAAACTTTGACAGCTAATCCGGCGGTGTTTTTATACTTTTAGAAATCGAAACTGAACCCCACTTTGAGTATTTAGCTACTTTGACTTGGTGCTCAGATTTTACAGTCAAAAATGTTCAATCGAAATGTTTAAATCAAAAGCACTGCGATGTGAGGAGACGGGTCTCGATGCTGGCCTGCAGGAGTGCCAGAAGTTGAAGGACGACCTCGGAGACTGCCTGAATATCGTTGAGCGCCTAAGCCGCAAAAACAGTGATCCAGACGAGGGTCGCCTTTCCGTGGACTGCCTGGGCTCAGTCTCTACTATAGAGACAAGCAGCTGCCCTGACTTGAGTAGCAGTTCCTTGTTGCTGCAGGACTCGGAGGGGAACCAGATGAACACTCCAGCGGAAGCCAGAAGCGGCCAGAAGCTGCGCAGCTCCTACGTCGACATACGCACCAAATGCATTAAGCTCAAGCGCGAGCTGGAAGGCACAGTGTCGCTCGCCAAACACATAAGCGGATTGGCCCATCGTCAACGGAATAGGGACTATAGCATTCCAGAGGAGAAACCGCCGACTACCTGGAGAATCTAGGAAGAAATCTTCGGAACAATGGTGCAACAATCAAAGTTTTGGCTGCCGGTGATCGGGACGCACAAATTGCAAATTTTCTCGACATTTGGCAGCTTTTATTAAAAATTACTGTCACCATAAGACGAGACAGAGAAGTTGAGCAACTTTCAAAACTAATTTGGCTTGACATGAAAATAAGGCAAAGTTTTTCACTGTTTCCATACCCGGTAGTCTTAGAGCACAGGGGTATATATGTTATTCGCGAAATGTGTGCAACGGACCACTGTTTCCTTCCCATTCCGATGATCCAAGCTGTTTCCAACATTGTTCCATTCTCTGTCGTGGATTCCAGGCGGGTAAATGATGCTCCCATTGGCAGTGATCAAACGCGTTGGCGATTCGTTCCTAACTAACGGGTATTTGGCAGACGGAATGTCGACTACATGTCCTTTGCTGGGCCCCACGACGGGCGGACGATGATGCTCGTAGAACAGGAACAAGTCAGATGCATGTTTATGTGCACGACAATGGGTAAATACAAATACTCGGGACAGGCGAAAGAATATGGGAAAATATGAGAAATTGCCAGCGCAAAACTTGAGATAATGTAATGCAAAAGTGGCCCTGGACCAGGACCAGGGCCAGGACCGGGACCAGACACAGACGCAAGTTTTTCCCAACGCTTTTCCAACTTTGCGTTTTCCCTCTGCCCTGCCGAGGGTATTTGTGCGGGCCCAAGTTGAACATTATTTTTTGTGTTGCCTGTTAGCTTGCCTCGAAAGGGGAATCCCCGCACTTCGTTAGAGGAACAAGTAGCCGGGAGCTGGCCAGCTGGACGGCTGGACGGCGGGACTGGGAAGGGACATAAAACAGTGAAGTTTTGCATATTTAAAGTAATATCAAGGGGAAAACGAAACTTTTCTTTTTCATTATTATTCTTGTTTTCTGTTATTTTTTGCGTTATTACCCCAAGGGGTAGAAATGCGGGCAGGCAGTGCGCTCTGTTCCATTGAATAAGGACACACAAGCAGGGGTCCTCAATTGGGTTCAAAAGGTGTTCATTGAGTGAGTGCTGCGGTCATTCATTATGATGGGGTCCAGAGTACCCAGAGGACAGAGTGGAGAGGACTTTCAGATGGAGTGGAGGGCGGCCAGAAGCCAGAAGCCATAAGCCAGAAGAGCAGGTAACTTGCGTATTGAATGAAAATGAAGTTTAGTTTTCTTTAAGCTTGTTCAAGCTGAACAGAGCTCATTCACCTCAATCGGATCGTCATTCTGATGCATTTTCTGCACTCATTGTAAGCCCATAAAATGGCAAACTTCATGGCACTTTCTTTCCCCCATAAATGATAGGAGGACCTGCTCGAGTTTCCGTTTTTACTTCGATGCCTGCTACCCGTAGTTGTGCCCCAATGTGGCTGCCACGGCTAACATTGCCATTAAAATCCGCTTTATGGGGCCTACGTCTCTGCTCGGCCATCGATTGATAGGAGAACGAAAATTTATTAGCTCTTTAATGGCCTACAGAGGTCGGACCAAGTCGGACCAGGCCGGGGCCACAGAACAAACCCAACTTGGAATAATGAAAAGTGCTGGCTCTGGCTCTGACTCTGCCGTTCCCGAAAGCAAACCGAAAGTGGTGTAAGAGGTGCAGCCACACCTCTTAGTTGTTGAGACCTATTCACAGACAACAACAGTTTCCTTTAGACCAGATGTGTCTGGGTCTGGGTCGGGGTCTGGCCAAGCTTGAGTCAAAACAAAAGCCAAAAATCAAAGTCAAAACATCACCAAACCGTTGTTCACGTCTCCCCACCCCACAGAACGGGAGTCTGTGGGTATCTGTGAGCCTGTATCCTGTATGCTTTCAACCTCATGCTCTGGCTAAGTGTATCCGGAATTGGTTCAATACCGACGGAAACCGCAGCAAACTTCTCCGTGGGTTCGGCCCCTTTGTGTGCGTTACTGAGGCCATTTGTGAGAGATTTCGCAAACAAGTTTGTTTAATTAAGATTTCCTGCGGGTCAGTTGATTGACTTTAAGTGCCGAAAACTAACCGAATTAATGAGGGAAGCCCCAGGAAACGCCGCAGGATAAGAAGAGATGAGCAGATGAGGGTGTCTGGTAAAATCCACACACAAGAAACCCTTCAGTGGGAATGCTTTCAATGCTTAGAGATTTTTGATGCGCCCTGATCAATCGCTCTAGGTTTCTAGATATACATAGGTAATATAGGTAATTACTTTAATATTTTATCAGTATGTTAAAATTGGTTAATAGAACCTGTTTGGATCAGCACTTTATTTGTGTGTTTATGAAGCTCAACTACTCATTCAACCGTGCAGCTGAGTCGGGCCCAAAAGAGATTCCAAGCTAACTAAATTAATGGCACAGTCGGGGGGTAAATACCGAAAATAGAGACCCAGAAAAAACCGAACAAGTTCCTTGGAAAGACCACACAGCACAGCTCATAAATATGTAGGAATCCCCAAAGGGGCAGAGGCAAACACGCTAAGCACTTCCGTATGAATAAATATTTAATCAATCAATTTCGACAATTTTCCTTTTTCGAGGCTCGTCAAATGCATAAACTGAACGGATACATTTTCATCTACCCATGATGATGATGGTGATAGGAATGATGAGGTTGATGAGATTGAGATTGAGAATGGGGATGGGAATGAGCAAAGGAATGGGCAGGAGGTTTTGGAGGATGGGATGCCCTTGTCGCTGTCGTTGAGGCATAAAACAAGTCAGACACATAAAAGAAGATTTGATTGAAATGCTAATTTCCACAGATTACAACCAAGAGTTTTTCACTCAGGAAAAGAATTCGAGTCCTTGGTAGATGGACAGCTCCATTTGGACTTAGTCATCATCATCATCAGGAGGAGCTTCAAAGCCATGGCATGACAGGACACTTCTCAGTCGAAGCCCATCAACCGCAGCCCTGTTTAGCTTCAGTTTCAGTTTCAATTTCGGTTTCATTTTCAATGCGATTGATTTTCCACGAATGCTCATTTCCCACTCACTTTTTCAGCAGCGATTATCGAATCGTTATTAGTTTGTCCGCTGCCTGTGACAGGTAACATTGAACTTGGGGATTGAATGGGACTGGCTTTGGCTCTGTCTCTTTTATTCAATGTGGGCTACATATTCCAAGTGCTGTTCACCTGTGCGTGAGTTCATGATGATTTTTTCAGCATGATTTACAGTCTGAACGAATCTTCTAGGGTTAGCCCTTGGTTTTGGGGTTGTCGGGACAGTTGCTTGGGACAGAACTTCAACGCGATCCACTTGGTCCATCATCAGAAACACCCAGGCTAGATGTCGCCTGAATGAACGCGGCCTTAGATGAAAGGCTTTGAATCTTTACACATAGTTCATTGGTTCCTGCGATTAAACAAAACCACGAGGCGTTAAATGATTCTCTCACCTCTCATCTGGCAGACCAGATATGGAAAACAGTAATTGATTGTAACCAATAAGTATCTTCAATCATTCCGTTTGTCTTCTTTCGTTCAGTCACTGAATGATTTCTGGAGTCTTGCCCTGCCATGTTTTTGTAGGCAGCCTTTTGGGTTCCTCTCCGCCAAAAGTCAGCATAAAGTCTTACAATTTATCTTCGCCTCGGAGCACAGTGCAGCACTTTCCTTGCAGTGCTCTGAGCATCTGAGCACTCCCAGAACCCAGAACCACTCTCACTGACTCATCCGAGCGAGTTGGCCTCCGCCAAGTCGGTTATCACACGCACAGAAGAGACACACACAACATTGAGGCAGAGTTAACTTAAGCGTGAAGCTGAAGTTGTTGCAAAATGAACGACTGTGAAGGAGTACAGGACTCCGAGACTCCGAGACTACGACTACGACTACGACCCATACCCATAGCAGTTGCATTCCCCGACTATGACAAAATGTCAGAGAACGAGGAGCAGCAGCAGTGGCAGCTCCCCGTGGGGGGAGCAGCTGCAACGTGCCACAGTTGCAGCAGTTGAAGTGATAAACGCGCTGCGCAATTGTTGCCTTTTGTTGCTGTTGCCGTCGAGATTTGCCATCTGACAAAATGCTTTTGACATTTTCGCAAGTTAACAATAAAAATATTTCATATAATTTAACGCTGCTGTGTCAACAATTTATGGCGAATTATCTTCAGCTTTGGCTTTGGCTTTGGCCCGGACTCGGGTTCGGGTTCGACCCTGTCACAGATTCTGCCAATAGCCGGGCCAGAAGCTGAGAAACTTGGAGAATGCTCTCTCTCTCATATTTATTGCTTTTAGCATATTTGTCGGGGCCCCAGGCAATCTGTCTTTGTGTGGGCCAAAATGCAAATTCTCAGTCTCAAATTTTCCGACTCTGGTTTTCATTTGAGGTTCGGCAAAGTTTTTGGGAAAACAAAAAGCCCTTGACAAAGTGCAGCTGCTCGGAAGTGCTTCGGGTACAATTTTTGAAGGGCGGTCAATGAAAACTTTATTTGTTGCCGAAAGAACAAAGCCAGAACTTGAGCAGAGCAGGAAGGTCTCGCTGGGGAGTTGTGTGCGTAAAGAAAGTCTCAAATAAATTTTGAATGTCAGGCAAAGGGGCCCAGATTATTGTGGAAGGGTTCACATTCATATGAATGATATTCTGTTTTGGGCGCAGCTTTAGTTTGAGAATTACCACTTTAATGGCAATAAAGAAGGGAAAACCATTTATTTTGTGTATAGTATTATGATAGGTATTTTTATTTAGTCAATCCGTAAATTGTTTCAGAAGTAGACCGGTTTTCTTGGGCATTTTTGAATTGGCATTCAAGTTGCATGTCTTCCCCCTCTTCTGTAAGGATCTCCTCGGTAATTTGAAGGGGTAAAGGACCTTCAGTTATCTTCTCCAGGGCAGCATTATCGAAATCGGTGTTCTGGAATTCACCGTCACCACCCGCTTCCTTGGCCTCGTCCTCATCCCCCAACTTGCCGGGGAGCTTGGCCTTCAGGTCCCGGTGTAGCTGATTAATCATAGTACAGCTCAAACTCACGCGACTCATGACCCGCGCCATTCGCTCTTGAATTCCAGTCATAATCTGATCGAACTCTCTGGCCTGTTCAGTACGCTTTCGAGTACCTGGAGCTCCCAAGGCCAAGTCGACATCACTGTCGGAGCCCTCCTCGAATTGCACGTCTTTAAAAAGGACCTTGCTCAGAGATTCCTCTGATGGTTTATCGGACATTTTAGAAAAACAAATATATATATATTTGAGCTTAGTTATTCAGAAATTGAGAATTATAAATGGGAATAGTAATTGGAATTGGAACGAAAGGGGGAAATGTCACAGAGAGCTATCCATCCAGTCGTCGCCTCCTTGAAGCGAAATCAAGTGTAAAATGTGTCCAGCTGAGATATGAAAGCTGAAATCAATTAAAGCCATTTAAGAGAAAAACGACCAAAGGATATGGATGTCGACTGCCGTCGTTGCCGTCTTTGTCGTTGTCGTCGTTGCCAGGGCGCCAGGCAAATAAATCTCGGAAACGACTTGGCGAAGGGTGGGGTCTGTTGGGGATAAAAGTTGCGCCACAGTTGAATGGAGGGAACGAAATCAAAGTCTATAACTTAACGACTGCAATGAGAGTGATGCTGATGACGATGTCCTCGAGGTTCACACACAGACACACACACAGCTCGAACCCCACTGAAACCCAAACGAAAAACGAAAAACGAAAAACCAAAAAGCGTAAAAAAGAAGACAAAACCCAAAAGACGGAAATGCAGCATTCATTCTCTCGCCTAGCTGGGGGGACTGGCACTGCCGCTTCCTCCTTCGGTGCCATTACTCTTTCAGTCTGCTTTCGCCTTCATGTGCTAAATATTGGCCCGCCATTTCTTCATACTCGTTCTGGGCTGGCCTTTGTCGCCGCTCGCTCCGATCTTCTCCCCCAGCGCAATAAACCAATAAATCTGCTTAAGTATTTTGCAATGGTTTTCCACAGTCCATAGTCCTCTTATAATAAATTCCTTTACGCATAAAAACACTTACAAATGAGCCTTTCTTAAGGGAAATAAATGCCATGTCTCTATGTACACATATATCTATCCCATGAATGGGCTTAAAGGCATGTTTATGGCTGTGGCCAGGTATGAACAGATCCCCCTTGATATGGGACTCAGGTACTCTGTGACTCTATCAACTATCAATGCCAGATGAACAGAAGTCGAGCTAGAAATGGTCCATCGTGGGCTTCATGGAAACTAGATTCCTTTCATTCTTTTCCGAGCTTGGGCACTGATATTACCAGTTCATGCCGCTCTTTAATTCGCCATTAAATTCCCATTCAGACCACGGACAAGCTGTTGGCTAATCTGTTGCCCAAATCACATTGCAACATGTGGCTTCCACGCAGACACATAACTAATTGATGATCTAATTGAATGCTGTCCAACCATTTCTCATTCGTTTTGTCCCTGCAACATCTGTCAGATCCATCACAATAAATAACCATATAGTTATAAGGAGTGTTTCCTACATTAAAATCCCATCATGCTTGAGATTAATGTGAAAAGGTCACGCCCAGCCCAGCCCAGCCCCTTCCCAACGAAGGAAAAGCCATTCACTTTAGCTAGACTTTGACATTTGCCTTCACCGTTGCCGTTGCCATTGCCATCGCCTTCGCCCTCGTCTTTTCCTTTGTTTTTGTTGGCGCTCTTTCACTTTTTGTCTTCTGGGCGAGACACGTGACAATGTCGGAGCAAACATACTCGTAAATGCCGTGTGTCAACATCCAGGTCGCTGAGAAGTAAAGTGAAAATGTCTTTTTATCAACTTTCGGTGGCCTTTGCTGGCTTTTGTTGTAGTTTTTACATTTGTCTTAATTAGGGGTTGGGGGGGAAATAGAAGCCACTTGAGGAAGTATGCCGAAAGAGAAGAGCCATCATCTGCCGCTGGCACTTCTGCTCTGACTGGTCTGACTTTTCTATCCTATGGCCCCTACCCTGCCCCCTGCTCTGGCGTGGGCGTGGGCCAACACGTGTGCGACTTAATGGCAACACTTTCGTATCCTTACGGCTCTCGTATGCCGCTCATGTCTGTCTGTAATTTATATGGCTGCTTGAGTGCCAGCTCCCACCCGGTCCACTCGGCCCACTCTCCCGGTCGTTTCCGCTAGCTCCTTCTAGCAAAATTTGTTATTACGTTGAATTAAACTTGAAAAATGTGTTAATGGGGTCGTTCTGCGCTGCCCTAAACCAACTGCGACTCCGACCAAGCAACTTAATTAAATTCCACAATGATTTTGTTATTTCGCCATGTAGCAACAAGGCACGGCAGCTTCTCCAGCTGCAGATGTAGCTACAATTACAGGAGACGGCAAAACATAGCGCACCACATGGCGTACATGGCGTATGTGTGATATTTGTAAGCCGCCTTCGCCGCCTGCACGTTCTTCCTTCTTGTGGCTTTGTGCCTGCGTTCTGCCTTCTTCTTTTCTCTGTTTTTCCCTCTAATTTGTTAGTACTAATGAGCTGTGAAAAGTATTCTCTACGAAAATTGGTAAATTGCGGATGTCGAAGAAACTGCGTGAGAAAATTGCGATGCCCTGCGCGTGCAGCTTGTGTATAATGGGATGACGAAACAAAATCTCTCTAAAGAGTGAACTCTATACTCATAAAGACATACACACCTATGCCCTGTATGAATGGTTACTTAAGGAGTGAAATTATGTATTTTTCTTACAAATATTTTCTGCCTCTTTAAAAAACGCGCAGACTCGACCAATCCTTACATTACTGCCTATTGAGCAGAGAATGGCTGTAAATATATTTAATAAATTATCGCCAGATTATTTTCAATTAGCTCTCTTCTCACTTGTCTCTCTTCTTCTCACAGATTTACCCCAAATTTAAAATCCCTTAAGCCAAAATATTGCACGTTGTATTTATTATTCCTGTTCTCCGAAATTTATTCAGATTTTTCCTCTTAACTGTGGCGACATGGAAATGGTTTTACAGGTCATTAAAAAAAAAACCTCAGGATTTATGTGGAACCGAGCCACGGACCAAAAAAAGAAACAAAAAGTTATAAAGAGAAAAGTTTCCAGTGACCAACACGCCAGGACAGGACAGGACAGGAACGTCCCAGGAAAGATTCGGTTTCAGTTTGGTGACTTGTTGCCAAACGGGCTTTAAGCTGTAATCCGAGTTAACAATAATCTGAAGGCAATTAGCAAAGAAGGGAGGGCCGAAAGTGTGGCCGAGTTAAAATGGAAATTTAAAGGAAAAACCATGGGCCGACCACCGACCACCGACCACCGACCGCCGACTGTTCCACGATGTGCCTTGGCTTTGCATTCCAATCAGCCGCTTCTGACACACTAGAGGTTTCCACCTGGCTAACCACTCGTCAATACTCAGCGGAACTGATTGCCACTGAGGATATTGCGGCCTTTGCTTATTACATTTTTCAAGTGTGGCCGAGTGCAACAATTATTTATTGAAAAGCAGAAGCACAGCCAAGGACATGCCTCCATTCAAGGATAAATATGCTGCGGCTTTAAGTGCTGCACACAAACTTTATTACAATTTAAACATTTTTGGCAATTTTTCCGTCCCGGACTGCCGGCTCCGTCTCTCCACACATAGCACATCGGAATAGTGAGCACAATTTGCATTTGAAATCTGTGTTCTCTATTTGCATTTGAAGTTCTATTTGTATTTGCGTGAATGGACCGGAGCGGACAGGACCGGACCGGACCGGACCCCCTTCTGACAGATGATAGGAAGGGTGCGGCTCTGCCCGAATGATCATGATGATGCTGGAACGTGCGTTTGTTTAAATGAGCCGACAAAAAAATGTGTTTTTTGTCATTTCCCTTCTGTTAGTTTTGTGTAGTTTTCTGTTTTTGAGGGGTAGTTTTCCTTTTGTTTGCTCGTTGAAATTTAGCATCAACACATGGAAAATTTGTTGGTGGTTCGTTGATTTGTTTGTTTTCCCTGTTGAATTTCATTGAACGGAAGGAAACCCCAAGAAAACGCCAGGAAAACCCTAAGACCGACGCGTCGGTCGTCTTTGGGAAATACTGGTGAAATTTCAATACAGTTTAAAATACTTGCCACAAACTTTTCCAGTGCCGTTTGCTTTTCATTTTTGTTTGGGATTTTGAGAGTAATTAAATCAAAGGATATAATTTGAGACATCAATTTTGAGCTGTCATTACTAATAATAATTGGATGCGCTCGAAAAGGAAATATAAATAATTGTGTAATAATTCACTTTCCTTTTCCACCTCCTGCCCCACTGCCCCCACTGGCCCTACCTGCCCCCATGGCTGTGGCATTTAAAGTGAATTGAAAGTTCCACGTTGACAGGAGTGGAGTCCAGGCCCTGTCTGATGATTTATCATCATAGTTCCGGGCCAAACTTTCATTAGGAAAATAAGAATGAAGAAGCGAAGGTCAAAGGTCCTCCGTCCTCCGTCCTAGGTTCACGGTCCTCTGGCCCTGTCCGAACTATTTCGCCAGGCAATGCACGCACTTCCATTTCCATTGGCCGAAAACTTGTGAATTTTCTTATTTTTCTTGTGTGAACTTTTTTGGTTTTTGTTTGGTTTTGTTTGGTTTGAAAAAAGGGAGGTTAGTCGACACTTTATCATGTCTCCGAGGGCGACGGGAGGTTGCGGGAGGCCGGCGTTAGGAGATTGTGGGCTCAGCTTGCCCGGAGCGCACAAATTGAAATCTGCCAGCGTCAGTCAGAGTAAATGAGGCAAGACGCAGCCACAGACCCAGCGGGAAGTAATTGTGGGCCCCAACCTCCCGAGCCACTGCTCTGCCTGACAAAGTCTTTGCCGTAGTAAAATGAAATCTCCATTTTCAACTTTTTCGCTTTTTTTGCATACTTTTTTGTATTTGTATATGTACTTTCGTATGCCGTTGGCTGCCTGTGTATGACAAATATTTAGCCAAAGTGATTTCTGACAGCGTCATAAAGGATCGGAGGCACCGGAGAGGCCGAGGAATACCCGTACTTCATGCCCCGTTTGAGCGTAATTCGTCATTTGACCCGACAGCGAGTGCGACAGCGGCCCATGCGGCCCATGCGGCGTATACGCTATTTTCGAAACGTACCGCCAATTGAATTGCAAATGCGACAAATCCACTTGCGGCAAATTTTTCCAAGACCAATGAATTGCACTAGACACAAACCACTGCAGTGGTGTACTCACATTTTAATAATTTTTATTTCACAATTTTAATTTTGGCTTTCACGTTTGCTCAACGAGCACATCAAATTTTGTTCGATCTGGTTGGGTTGCGAAAGGTCAAATTAATTCAAAGGTCGCGTTTGAAAAGGAATCGTCGCTGCCGGGTGCTAGAGTGCTGCGATTGTATTCGAAGTTGTGTACCAACAGCAGAGGGGTGCAGAAGGGGCAGAAAAGAGACAGTGTAGAAAATGTTGAGGGAAATGGAATTTCTGTCGTTGTTTAGCGAGCAACGTATATCGTGTAGCGTATATCGTGTAGCGTGTAGCGGATAGCGTGTAGCGGATAGCGTGTAGCGGGTAGCGTGTAGCGGGTAGCGTGTAGCGGGTAACGTGTAGCGTGTGTCATGTGTTGTGTTGTGTATCGTGTGTACTGTGTTCTATGTCTAAAAGTTGACATAATCGAGCTCCCGACGCAAGCGAAGCGTCAGGCGCAGCTTCCGAAGCTCCGTGCTGTACTTGGCCTGGCATCGATCCACGTCCACAGGATGGGGCAGAGGCAGGTGGAGCCGATAGAGGGCGGTGGCCAGATCCAGATCCGTTTCCTGCAGAGTCAGCTTGATCTTGTCGACTGTCGTCTCCTCATCGGGCAGATGAATGTCCAGAATAAGGTCTTCGCAGCTGGCGGACGAGCCGGTGCGATTGCCCATCTAAAATGCGTGCGAGTGCGAGTGATTACTAAGCGGCCTTTCACCAGCGAACAGTGATAGGTTGGCAAACCTGCAGGAAGACATCTTCAGTGCCCACGGCCTGGCTGTAAGTCATGGTGTATTCTGGACACCTTCTCGTCTCCAGAATATCAGTGTCCTCACGTTCCTGCTGCTCTTGCCACTCCTCGAGGGTATCGGGCTGCTTCTTTTGCTCCTCAACCAGGGGAGTGGCCAATGGATTGGGCTTTTTCTTTTTCTTGGCCTTGGCCTGAGCGGACGATCCTGCTGCCGTTGGCGCCTGAGGACCAATGCTGCCAGGTGCTGGACCATGAAGGGATCTCTGTTATAAACACTTCTTTCATAGGCCCTTTCCGCGGTTACTCACTTAGCTTGTGGACCACCAAGGACTCCTCCTCATCCTCGCTGCTGCTGCAGTCGATGCCGGCACGAGTCTGCCGGGGATTCAGAAGGTTCTGCAGCTGACGCAGCTGGTCGGGATTGTCGAAGACCGACATTGCTGTGAGACCCGCACGCGAGTAAAAGTATTGAAGTATTTCAAATTCTTTTTTTCTATAAATTTATTTATTTTTTTTTTTCTTAGCACTTGTCACTTTATCTTTTCGCACTTGTAAAATAAAACTCGAAATATTTATACAGTTTTTGTTTTCAAGTTTTCGGCTCGGCTTGTCGACTTCAACTGAGGAAAATCGGTTGGATCCCCAAATCCTACACATGAAAATACGGAGAAGGATTTCCACGGCCAACTCGGTTCAGTCGTTGTTTATTTTGATGTGATAAATAGAAAAGGTTACTATGCCAACGGGAAAATCGTAGAGTCGGACCTGTTTCCCAGTTTCCCAGTTTCCTACCCTCCGGCGCAGTTCCGGCTTCAACGGCTTCCGACGCTATGGCCCCACTGGGGCTATTTCAATTATAAACTTGGGCTCCCATTTTAGTGGGAAACTTTTCGCCCGAGGGCCAACTGCACTCGAACAAAATATTTCACTTGTCAGAAACAATTGTTTTGCGAATTATAAATTGTGTAATTATTGTTCTAGGTTTGACCTTGTGGCGGCCAGGGGCCGCAGAAATTACGACTATAAACAGCCAAACAGAAATTTGCATTTTTCACGCGCCCCCTACTGGGTCAACGCTAATTTGACTTTCCGTCTGCCGGAGTGGGAGGCGAACAGTGAAAAACATGAAAACGGGGCCCCGTTAACAACAAGGCTCAGATACAATAGCCACAGCGAGAGCCACAGCAAAAGCCATAGCCACAGCCAAAGCCATAGCCATAGCGCAGTGGGGTCTGAATTCGACATTGGACAAAAAGAACACAGATTTTCAGAGTTCGCGTTGTTGTCCTCTAGCCAGCTACGTGTTTAATTTGTTTAACACGAGCTGTCGGTGAAAGCGAAAACGAAAGGGATTCTCATCCCTGCTCAAGGACGGAGAGCCTCTGGCACTTGACAGCGCTATTTAGCGACACTCGACCTGACCACCGCCCAAGGGTCTGTCATTTGCAGCTGACATTATCCTGTCTCCAAATTTGAGCGATTCCAGAGGTATTTGGTTCCCTACTGAACCAGAGCTGAATACCAATGATGGAAAGTACATGCATATTTAATTTTTTGCTAGCAAACTATATCAATTTACAACTGGGTGTGCTTTGATTTCGAATTTTCGATGTGTTCTTAGCACAATTTATTTCCCTCCAAAGATTACGGTATGGACAAGTTTTGAGCCTAAAGGTTCGGCCCTTTGTGCCTTCTACCGCAGAGAGCCCCCCACAGAGCCTCCTGCTGTTGAAAGGAACCCAAACAAAACCCTCTTTTTCGAAGCTGCCCTTCAACAGCATTGCAAACATCACGTAACTGAATTTTAACCTTGTTCCGCGCACACATACAACTTCCAGCCATTCTACGAGTATTCCAACAACTATCGACTGTCGGCACAGGGTATCTTTTCTGTGGAATGCGCGCCAGTGCCATCACATCCGCAGAGTCCCCAAGGTCCCCAGGGCAGCCAGATACCCAGATGCCGCAACGCATCCAGACAATCAACATGAATCCATGGTGTAATTGTATTTTGGTTGTCGCACACATTTCAATGAACTGCAGAGCAGGGAAAAAGGCAAGGGAAATTTGTGTTGACTGAATACACACGGCCGTCTGTCCCGGCTAACCCGCTGGCGGGACCTCTCCGAGAGCATCCATTTTCCCGCACCCACAAGGCCATTGCCAAATAGATTTTTGTTTCAGAAGATAGAACACTGGGCGGGCTGGGCGACAGCAGCAGTAGCAGCAGCTGCAGTTAGTAGGGTGAAAGTGAAAGTGAAATCGGTCTCCGCATTTTGTTGGCAGCTGGGACGTGACGTGCTGCCCACACCCTTACACCCTTACACCCCTACACCGTACACCTCCTCCCCCCGCCCGAGGAATGCGATTTGTGTGGGTCCTTCTCCACCTCTGAATTCTTGTCTGCTGTTTTTCAGCAAGATATTATTATTTTTGGTTGTTACATAAAATGTAATTAAGAAGGCATTAAGTAGCGTGCATAAATCATGGAAAGCAGCACCAGCGGGCACATGTGTCTGTGTCTGTGTGTGTGTGTGTGTGTGTGTGTGTGTGTGTGTGTGTGAGGAGGGGCACCTGGCGGGGCAGTTACGTGATATTTCTCCTGCTGAGCGGGAATAGGGGGCGAGCACGAGATAGATTTGAATAGAAGGCGGAAAATATACATAGCATACGCTGGGGCTGGGGCTGGGGCTGGGGCTGGGACTCATGCTGGAGCTGGAACTGGCGATGGGGCTTACGACGGGGTGGGGTACCGTCAAAGATCTGGGTCTGTTGATTGCATTTTTCTTTGGTGACACACTGGCGCACAATTTTTCGGCTGTTTATTTATACATTCATTTTTTTTTTTTTTCTGTGAACAATCTGCTCTTTTATACACTCGAAAAATATGCTTTATATATTATAACTTTGGCATACAAAACTCGAGTTACAGAAAGCAGTCCCTTTTCCGAGGCCCTTTCGGAGAGACAAAATTTGCCCATACAGAACATATACATATGTATGTAGAACAAATAAATAGAGAACTTTGTGGGATTAGAAAGGATTCCCCAACTGAAGTTATAATATCCCGCAAGAGTAACATTTTGCTTCAAGTTAGGTGATTCTTGAAATGTGATCTAAATATGTATTTCTTCTGGTTTTTTGTAGTGTAAGAATGGTATCGGTGTGCGTGTGTGTGAAATGAATGCGCCAAGTCAAATGATTCCCCGAGCAGACACAGCAGCAGCCATTTGGCCAGAACAACAGAAAAAACAAGTAGAGGCACCCGGCCACAATTCCGAAATGGAAAAAACACGATGAACAGGATGTGCAGTCAAGCGAGCAGGACCAGGAGCAGGACAGGAGCAAGCAGCTAGAAAAAGTAGCGGCATAAAAATAAAACTATAAACGTTAAATTCTTCTTTCTCCGCTTTCACTCTCTCTCCCTCGCTCAGTGTCTTTATCCGTGTCGAATGTTTATACAGAAGAACAAAAAAGAAATTGCTAAGCAATAGCAACAAAACACAAGCCAAAAAGGCGCGCAACTTCCAGCGGAGTGGACTTTAAAGTACCACGAAATAGCCGCCAACAATCACCCAACACCAAGCCAACAACCAGTGCTGCCGGAATTGCCAAAATCGGCTGAAACCGAGAAGAAATAAGCTAAAAATTGGGCCAAGGCTAAACGAAACCTGAATATAAAAGATTAACGATACAGCAAATACATACTATCCTGCTGTTTTATTATTTTATTTTTAGCTTCGTCGGTGAACATACAATTTTTCAACATTTCCGAAGTATCATCGGCTGTATTTTGCACACAGCTCATTTGTGGGCAGAAATGTAGACTCTGAACAAATTTCTCGTCACGATTTTCACAAAAAACTCGTGGAATATTTGTAAAAGAAATGCTAAATTTCTTAGCAGCCGGTTTCTACAGGTTTCACACATTTCTGCTAGCGAAAGTATTTCATTCCCAAATTGTTTTGCAAAAAAAAGTTGTTTTTCTTTCGGAAATTGAAATATTTTAATTAAATATGCCTTCGACATCTGTAATAGCTGTATGACATTAGACATTTGCAAACTTAGCTTCGAAGAGAAAGATAGCGTGATAGACAACACGTAAAATAGGTGTTCGTAGCCGTCTCTAAAGTCGTCACAAAATTATGCTTTCCAACACTTACAGCCAGCTAGCAAAATTGGTTCTGAAAATTGTAAAAATTAATTGCCGTAGCGTTTCTCCCAGCTCAACTGGAAAGCCATGCTTCACTTCATGCTTTTCCCACAAGACTTTTCCTACGGCTATTGATATCCATTCCCATTCCAGCTATTGATATCTAGTATTTGAGGTCTGATTAGAAAAAAAAGTTTTAAAGTTTATGGCATTTCCGTGGAAAAGTCCAACGACACGAAATATATACATAAAAGCTAATATAAACCCATTTCCATATACGTTTGTTCCGATAATATTTTTTAAATTTAATTAAACTTAAGTTATTTAACCATTTAATGAACTTTGATTTGAAAACGTATTAAAATAAGTAAAAGCACTTATTCGTTTTATTTTCTTATTTTATATTTATATATAATAAACTTCGTTTACTATTTTCTCCTATAAGAAAGATGATTCTTGTTAAAAGTTGTTCGCCAAAGTCTCTGTAAAAAAGCTACTAAATTTTTGTTTTGGGTTCACAGATCCTGCCATTTGCATGGGAACAGCTTTGTTGGTTTTTCGGCAAATTCGTTTCGGAATTCCCAAATATCCTTATTCACAGGGTAAAAGCCAAAAAGGCTTCCCCCTACTGGTTGTAGATAGCATCACCGTCATCTGATGATCCATCCGCGCACTTTATTGGCTTTATTTCATATTACAAACGCACAACTCGATTGTAACTGTTCTCAGTATCTTTCAATACCATGAATGACCATGAGGCGTCTCCCCGTTCTTTCAACGGCTTACCCCAACTTGTTTGTTTATTTCAAACATTCTTAGCAACTTTTTCAACTTTTTCAGTTTTCTCAGTTAAGGAAAGATTAAGTGATTTATGAGAAAATGTGAGGTGTTAAAGTAAAACAAGCATATGGAACGTATGGTACGTTCGCGACCCGTACTTTATTGCGTAAATACTCGATAGAAACCTAGCTTAATCTTCTTGTAAAATAAATTAATCGCTTAAGAATATTCCGCTCCGTTTCGCAGATTTTTGCAAATATATTTATATTTTTCCCCGCTCATAAGATTTGGTATTTATGTGCGATTTAGAATTCATTAGCAACCGGCCTTAAATCGTAATAATCTTAGGATTTTCAACAACCGGAACGTGGCTTTAACATAGCTTGAAATATGCTAAAAAGGCATCACTGCCAACAACACCAACAGCCGGCCAGATTATTTGAGAGAAGAAAGAAGAGAAAAGAAAAGAGTAGAGACGCTCTCGAAGAATAAGAGAGAACAAGATTGGAAAGAGAAAATAGATTCCAAATGGAGTATTTACGCCGAACGAAGCTTTTGTTTGTAAACAAAGTGAGAGCTTTTGAAAACAGCTGGCTTGAAAGAGGAACTTGCAAAGTGGAACGGGCTAAAGCAGTGGCTAAAAAGAGTTAGAGGGGAGTATTTTGATTATTTTTGGCTGGTTAATGGATATACATATATAAATATATAAAATAAATAAAATTAACTACAAATATTTTTGGCTTGATGTTTCTTCTGTGATCAATAAAATACGTTAAAAGAAATAGTTGCAATTAAATGCTCTGGAATTCCCTCAAAAAGAGCCATGATGGCAGTCACAAACAAATCGTCCATAGAACCAAAAATTAAAAATTAATTACAAGGATTAGTACAGTACACTACAGCGTAGTGAAATATTCCATAAATTCAGTAATCGAGCCATCTATGTATTGGTAAACCTCATAGTACCGGTACTCAAGGAGTTTCGGGATACATTAGTTTTGTGGTGAATGTGTGTAACAGCCAGAAGGAAGCGTTTCCAACCCCACAAAGTATATATATTCTTGATCAGCATCAACATCCGAATTTTTATAGCCATGTCTGTCTGTCCGTCTGTCCATCGGTCTGCCTTGTTTGATGCCTAGTTTTCAGAGACCATAAGTTCCAGAGCAACCAAATTTTCGGTGCAGACTCATGGAATATAAAGGTCGAAAATCTTTGACATCCACAATTTTGAAGATACGAGAAAACCGAAAACGCAGAATCGGTATAGGATCATTATCATGGCTAAAAGGCCATGCTACATCTTCCATGCGGGGCTCATTCCCTTTCTCTCACCCACTCTGGCTCGTGCCCCCTCTTGCCACGCCCTGGAGGGGAGGAGCGAGATATAACGACTGGAGTATGTTGAGAAGTGAGAGGGAGAGAAAGATGTAGCGGAATACAAAACAGTCGAGCAAAATCGAAACAGATAAAATATTCTTAAATTTTAATCAGAAAAGTGCAAGAAATAAAATCAGAGCATAACCGGCGCGCCGGTCGTGGCTCCTATCTATTTCTCCGTTTTTCCCATCTCTTCCCATTCAGGGAGATGGCGGAGAGACCTGCCCTCCCCGCATTAACCATTAAATCCAATTGTTCCTTCTGCGAACAGCGATACCGAAAGAAAGAGATAGCATTCGGCAGTTATCGACTCTGATACCAATCCCGGTGTTTACGTATAATTATAGGTAAAATATATTCTATAAGTTACATAAATCATACATCACAACGTTCCCACTCGTTTTAGATGTAGATTTGTAGTGGGTGACGTTTTCACATTGAAATTAAATATAAAACAAACGATAAAAATGGTACACACAAAGATAATGAAATAATAATTAAAATAATAATATTAACCCACTGGAAAGAGTGGGACCCGTAGGGGGCGGCTCCAAGCCAGCTGGAATCATTAAAATGAATGAAACGAAATTCACTTCATGGATACTATCACTACTCGTATAACTATCACTACAATAGCCCGCCGCCAGCAGAAAACGAAAATAAATCCCATACCCCCTGAAACAGAGCATGGCGTCCACTAACCCCATTACCAAATTACACCTCATTACACGCTGGCCACACCACTCCGATTATGACAATTATCAAATCGAGTAATGGAAATGAATAAAATCAGATGCAAATTGAGAGAGTCAGTGAACGAAAGCGAAACTGTAAAGGGAATATGCTATCATTTCAAACGAGAGTCGACCGATTTCGGTTTCCTCTCTACGTCTGAAGGCACGTACGTACTACTTATACATACATACGGTATGTATGTATGTACAAGTATGTAACTGTAATCGAGCGATATACCTGAGGAGAATCCCTAATTGGCTGAATCAGATATCAAAATGGAAAGCAGCCAGCCAAGAGGCTTAGCTGGGAAGACACTGGTCGAGACACTTACCTTTTTTCGGCCTGGTCCTCTGCGACGATGCCCCGCAGACCTGCGTCGCCACTGGCGGCGCTCCGTCTCGCTGGCAAAGAGATCCTCCACGCTGCTACTGCTGCTGGGCTCCCCCTCCTCGCCAGAGCTGCCACTGGACTGATATGGATCCAATCCTTGCTGGCCGGCCTCCGCATCGCGCTGCCTCAACTTGCGGTAGTCCCCTGAATCGTCGCTGCTCAGGAAGCGTTCTCGGAATGCCTTGTAGATCCCGGCACTCACGCTGCCTATGCTGCCTATGCTGCCTATGCTGCCACGCCCATGGATGGCCGCCACCGGGGCGGTGCGTCCGGCATAGCTGCTCCGTCGCTTGGGCCTGGGATTGGGCACTGCCTCGTCGGGCGACTTCTTGGCCCCCCTCATATCCATCCTGCTTGGCTACTCCTCCTAATCTGCTCCAATCTCCGTTTCTTAGAAACCTGTGATGCAATGATTGCCTCGCATGTCAGGGAATCGCTTTCTGCTCTCTTGGGTTTCTAACCTTTTGCTCACGTATCCGGGGTGTCTCACTTCGTTTCTCTCCAATTAACAATTACGAGTGCTGCAAAATACGAGTACATATGTATGTAAAAAAGAAATTCAGTTAGGGGAAAATTTGCATGCATGCTTTCAATTAATAAGGAACCTATTGAAATCTCTTTTCTCTGATTTTCGGCATGGATTGTTGAGTTTTCCACAAGAAAAGCGTCGATGATTATGTTTGCCCTGGGCGTATATGGAAATTCAGCGATTCAGTTGCACTTGCAACAGGTGAAGAACATGCCACAGAAAACTGGGAATGAGGAAGTAAGTGCCATTAAGAGAATTGCAGTGAAATTCGGAGAACATGTTTGAAGTAAATTTCATCGAGATATGGTGAACCAATTGAAATGCAGGCAGAGCCTCTTCCGCCTGACAATTGCTAAAGAGTCCCTACAAATCAATGAACTTACAATAAACATTTTTGTAGAGAGATAGCTTGAAGAACTTAAATGTCGATTCTGAACAAATCTGAGTATGGGCTTTCCACTCTACTGGAGATAAATAATGCTCTTGTTTCAATTGTTTGCGAGCATCATCATGCATTATGCCCAAGCTGCGGACAGAAGTTAATGTAATTTAATGACAATTAAAAATTTCATAGTATGACAGCAGGCACTCGATACATTATAATGATGTTTTTAAATGATTTGACGAGGGACACGTTTAACCAGTTTGCAGTTTCCAATTTCCAATTTCCATTTAACTTAATTGGGTCAACAGTCATTTAAAGTAATTCAAATTAAGCCCCACTCGCTGCACAAATGCGAAAAGTTACTCGTAAATTATCCAGCCGTTTTCCTTTATTTATTTGTTGTTTTTTTTTTGTGTTAATTCATGCAGCGGCAAATGAACATGAAAATGCGAAAAAATAAAAAGAAACAGTCGGATTTTCCCCTCTCCCTCGCTGCATCTGAACAAGTGAAAAGGTGTCGGAAAAGATGAAAGGGAAGAAATGATGAACAAGTTGAAGGAAATACCGCAGTTGGCGCCCTGCTGTGTGTGTGTGTGGTGAAAGAAGTGTACCAATCGATCCAAGACCCAGATCGTAAGCCATATGTGACCCTTGCCACCCTTCCTCAATAGGTATATCGGTTATGGACTCAACTGAAACATCTCTTAGTCCAGGTTCTTAGGGTGGACACAAATGAGTAATAGACCAGCGGCTGTCCACCCCAGAGAGCATTAACTGTATTTGCCCAACTTTAAGGATGTTTGTCTTGGCTGAGAAGTGGATACTTGTTTCCATTTTCACTTTGTAAGTGTTTATGCGCCATTAGAAAATTTGTATAGCCTGCCTCTACACTCGGAAAAATGATTGATTCGGTTCTAAATGTGTTTGTATGTTTGCTTCCCTTTTGTTGGATAATTATGTATAGTATTAATGATTTTAAACTGGCTATCGCTCATTCAGATGTATTAATCTATCCAGCTATCGGTTGAAATGTTTACGGTGTATGGACGCTTCGTGCATAATAAACAAACGTTAAACAGACGATGTTGACGACAGGGCCCAGACCCAGACCCAGACCCAGAGATAGAGACGGACCGGGACCGACAAGAATCAAGAACACACACACACACACACACACACACACACGCACACACTGCAAACCAAACTGTCATATTAGCATATTGAGAACGCAACGAACTCCAACTGTCTCCCTCTCTCTGTCTATCTGTGTGTCGGCCTCTACTGTCTCTCTCTCTGTGGGTTCTTCTGCCTGCCTGCGTTTCCTCTGCTCGCTTCCCAGCGCCAACGCATCCCGTGCGCATGCGCAACTTTCTTTGCGGCGGAGCCAGCTTCAGCGTCGACTGCGCTGTTTCGGGGGCCTTGGGGTCTGGAGCAGGCGCGGCCGTTGGTATCAAATCAGTCGGTTTGCAGACTTTCGCGTGTGCGGTGCTAACAAATAAGCAAAAAGCAACAAACGCCGCCAAAGACAGCGACAGAGACAGAGAAACAGTGAGAAAGAGAACGAACATACATATGTACATATGTGGAGATCGAGGAATCTCGGATTAGGGCGAGATTTGTTGACAGTTTGAATCAAGTGCAAAGCGAGTGGGAAATAGTTCAATTATTGTCGAGAACAACTCGCAGCAGCGGATACTGTAGCTGTAGCAGAATAAGCTGTGTTTGATTTACATAATTATCAAGTGGAGTGTGAAAGAAATTCCAAAAAGTCCCATCAAACAAGAAGAACTAGAATCGAAATATATTCGTAACGGAACCCCGCTTTCCGGGTGAGAGAGGAGCGAAGAGGATTGTTTCAAGCAGAGGCTCATTAGCCTTACATGCATTAAATTGCATAACCCAGCGGCAGCAGCAGCAGCAGTGGCAGTACCAGTACCAGCTGAAGAAGAATCAGAACGAGTAGAAGATGATGCTCCACTTACGTCACTGGCCATTAATGCTGGCCATCGCTTCCTGCATTGGCCCGGCCTCAACAACAGCCACATCCACATCCACAACGACATCATCTTTATCCTCCATACCAGGCAAATATCAGGCCTTGGGTGCAGCAGCTCAACACCAGCCCAAGAAACTGAAAATAGGAGCTGGTGCTGGAGCTGGAGCGGCAGTCAACGCTTCCTCATTGGGTGCAGCAGCCGGCGGTGGCGGCCGTAAACCTGTATTCCGGCAAAATCCGATCAAGAATTGGCTTGGTTCCTTCAATCGCAATAATTCGCCGGCAGCTCAGAACCAAACATCTCCGACATGTTCCTGCAGGTGAGCCACAAAAGCTGTCATGGTCATGATGACAACTTCCAGTTAGCCAACAGCAACAGCACCAACAACAACACCAACAACACAAACAGCCAAGTGACAAACAACTTTGGGGCTGTCATTGTCCCGGCACACAAATGGCACAAACAGTTAAAGTCACTGATATATTTGAGTGCCTGCGAGGAGGAGATCACGCAATCGCGTCGATATTCTTTGGAAGAGATAATCTCCCCATCTTCATCTCTCCTTGAAGCCCATCTCTTGGAACATACACAGAACATAGCTGAGGCTTTAAAATATTGTTAGTCTGCGTGGAATCCATATTTAGCAAAAGACAATCTCTTGATTCAAGACTTTTCAACCAAAAATTCACTCATAAAAGAATACCATGCACTATAATAGATATTCTAGTCAGCAAGACCCACACAGATTCCACAGGTACACGCTCTTAACTCCACTATATCCTACTCGGTGCGCAACAAACTTACAGCAAAAGGTTCTTCCCCCTATCTGGTAACCGCTTTCAATGCCAAGAATTTTGTTGACCCCCAAGTCAGTCTCTGTCTCTCTCACTGAAGAATTGTATTTGGAATGCATTCTTCCAGAGACTATTAAACAAATTGCATTGCCAATTGGGAATTCAGCTGTGGCTTTTGGCATAAGGAAGTACCCCAGGGTACTTAAGAAGTCAGTGGAAGGCACGAGATGGACAGGAAACGTACTCCTCAGGGAGGAGCTGTTGAGCCAAAAATAGCTGAACAATTGGCCACAGAATCTAATAAGGCTATGCAGCCTCGGTTTGACGAGGTTGGATAAAAGGAATCCCAAGGATTACTTGTGGGAAAAGTGGGCAATCGGTTGAATCAAAACTCTTTGGCTGTGACGCCTCTTATACTCATATATTTCTGAAAATTTCCCCTCAATCATTAATAACAATCAATAAGTTTAATGTTAATCCATTCTTAACCATTCAATCTTCTGTTCTGTTGTGTTCTGTTCTGTTAAAAGCATAAAACCTGTTTTATTTCATATATATACTCGTAATATTTCTTCGTTTTTGCGTTTAAAAGAATAAAAAAGACTTATTTGCATACGATTTGATAACAGGCTCTGTTTTGGGCTTTAAGAACGAATGTTTGTACTGCCCACAGATACATGAATACTTGTAATTTATACAGGCCCAGGCCCAGGCACAGGCCTGGCTTTATAAGGCGTAAGCCCAATCCAATCCGAATGCGTCACATTATTGTCTGCGAGGGAGGCACGGGGAATGCCGCGTCTTCGCCTTCTTCTGCGCCGTCTCCTAAGTGGGTCGCCGTCGCACATTTTACTTCTTTGTTTCGGGACGCCTCTCGCCTGCCGGGGCCACCATTTTGGGGCAATGACACGATTAAGCAGACACACACACTGGGGTTTTGGGGCTTTGGGGCTTGTCGATTGATTGTGTGGCCAAAAAATACATACTAAGAAGACGAGAACGAACTTGTTACGCTTCCTTGGCGTGGAGTTTTCGGTTTTTTTCTGAATGCAGTTCTCTTTCTCTGTTTTTGTCCATGGTTTCGGCAATTAAAAACCTGTTTAATGGAACGCGTCGTCTTTCCAAAGATGACAGCAATAAAATCTGCAAAAATCGCTCATTTGTTTTATGGCCGGTCATAAAGACTTTGACACTTTCTTTATGGCGAGGTTGCTGAACTCTGAACTCTGAGCCGAGCGCCCATTTGAACTGGTTTTCAACACCCAATCAATCTGATCGTTATCTTTCCCTTCCTCCCTTGCAGATGTGGCGAGCGGAACGATGAGTCCAGGATAGTGGGAGGCACCACGGCTGGGGTCAGCGAGTACCCCTGGATGGCTCGGCTGAGCTACTTCAATAGGTTCTACTGTGGCGGGACACTGATTAACGACCGCTACGTGCTGACGGCGGCGCACTGCGTCAAGGGGTTCATGTGGTTCATGATCAAGGTGACCTTCGGAGAGCACGACCGCTGCAACGACAAGGAGCGGCCCGAAACGCGCTTCGTACTGCGCGCTTTCAGCCAGAAGTTCAGCTTCTCCAACTTCGACAACGACATCGCCCTGCTCCGACTGAACGACAGGGTGCCCATCACCAGCTTCATTCGCCCCATCTGCCTGCCACGCGTGGAGCAGCGCAACGAGCTGTTCGTGGGCACCCGTGCTATCGCAACCGGCTGGGGCACCCTCAAGGAGGACGGGAAGCCCTCGTGCCTGTTGCAGGAGGTCGAGGTCCCGGTGCTGGACAACGAGGAGTGCGTGGCCCAAACCAACTACACCCAGAAGATGATCACCAAGAACATGATGTGCTCCGGCTATCCGGGAGTGGGTGGACGCGACAGCTGTCAGGGCGACTCCGGCGGGCCCTTGGTTCGGCTGCGTCCGGACGACAAACGGTTCGAGCAGATCGGTATCGTCTCCTGGGGAAATGGATGTGCGCGACCCAACTATCCGGGGGTCTACACTCGAGTGACTAAGTATCTCGACTGGATTGTGGAGAACTCGCGGGATGGCTGCTTCTGCGACGAGGATTACTGACTGTTAGTCACGGCAGTGAACGATTCATCGCCCTAGTTTTAGTTTATCTCTTAGTTTTGTAGTCCATATATTTTTTTCTATTTTTTTTGCATTCTTATATTAAAACAACTGAATAAAGTTAAACAATGCAGTAGGTTAGATATCCAAAAAACATACACTTATGTTTTCAAAATTATTTAAATTGAGAAAAAGAGAACAAAAAGAATCGCTACAACGAAATTACACGTTAGCAGAGCAAGGTTTCGATCCTCGGACCTCTGGGTTATGGGCCCAGCACGCTTCCACTGCGCCACTCTGCTCGTTGATACCGTTGTGTCTAAAGCGCTATACACCCTACGGCTGGCAAGCAGTGCAAAATTCTTTTTCCGTTTGGCTAAAGTATTTATTATCCACAGTACTCGACTACGATTTATTTATTCTACGCGTTTTATCTCGTTTTATTTGAGAGGAAAACAATGCTATCTGATTTATTTATAGATAATTTACAAAACCCATATCTTATCTGCTTAAATACAAAAACAAAAGGTTTACTAAGTTCCACTGTCAACAATTTCCTGCAAAAGAGGGTATGTTTCGTGTAAGCATTGCGGGGTGGAACGGGCTGCTCTGCTGACGGCAGCACAGAAGCCGTAACTAGTTTCTGGCAGTCCAACGGCAACAAGCAGAGTGGCGCAGTGGAAGCGTGCTGGGCCCATAACCCAGAGGTCCGAGGATCGAAACCTTGCTCTGCTAATGTTGTTGTAAGTATCGCCCGTCGCGTTTCTTTTTTCTCTTTTTCTTGTTTCTTTTATCAGAAAAAACTCTTTACAAGATGGGTAATGTGCATAGCATTATTTTAAATTACAGTTGCCTAACGAGGCGCAAAGAACACAGTTTGGAAGCCCAGATAATGTGCCACGACAACCTTCAACAACTCGTTGCAGCTCGAAACCGAATTGCAGGCAGGTTAATTTGGCTTTTGTATAGCTTTCGGCGGCCTGATACCCAAAAAGGAAATATCGTTAGAAGCACTGACTAGCTGGCTACCAAACCGGTTACCATCAAACAGCTGTAAATACAAGGGGCCAAATAAAAGATGAACGGCTCTCAAGCGACGGCGATGGCTGCAAAAGTCAAACGTACATATACTCGTACTTCTCTAGTGGAGTGGAAAGGAATGGAGAAGTGAAGTGAAGAGAAGAGAGGAGCCGATCCCAACTGTTTGCTTATGAAATTTTAATACATTGCCTAATGAAACTTACGGGGAACTGGAATCGCAATTGGAACTGCTGTTGTTTCAGACGAAGCTGTGGAATACTGTATCTGCCTCACACTTCAAGAGATTGGCTAAATATTAAAATATTCACAGAGATATATGCAGATCTGTACTCTGTATGAGCATTGACTTCAATTTCCACTTTCGCTTTTGCCCACTTTTCATCTCAAGACATCAGTCTTCCTGCACTCACGTGTCGGCGGCGCCTTGCGTAATTATTCAAATGGAAATTTTGCACTGGATCGAAATTTGCTCATCTCACAGACACATTTTCGTGGGCCTGTTGTTCAGGTTGACGCTTCGAAATTTTCTTCTCAATCTCTTGTTTGTTCCCTGTTTTGTCGCGGTCCCGCGGCTACTGCCTCGCCAGCTGTTGTTTACCGTTCGCCGCTCGCTCGCTCACTGAAAGCTCCACGAGATAAAAAGATACAAGTTCCCCGCACCCAAAGAAATACACATGAACGTACCGTGCAAATTACACAACTGCGGTAGCGGATTGTGTTTTTAAAAAGTTTTTATTTTACTTCGAACTTCACTGATATAGATTTAAGTAGAGGGTCACAAAGGAATTCCGGGCCAAGGGATTGCGCGATCTTAATATTTAGCTAGACTTTGCGGTGTCGCTGCTGGATCAAGACTGATTTGAACTTTCTGATCTTTGCATCGTTGATCCCTTTCGGGAATCGTTTTTCTATAAACATTTCAATTGATTTCGCCATCCCGAGTATTAGATTTCGTCATCCAAAGAGAGAACTGTAAAAGGCCTAAAGTGCAGGATCTGCAGAAAGCCGGGAGTGAGATTGTTTATGAGAAGCCGGGTGTGGGCAAACATTGGTTTTCCATTTAGGCGAGTGTCAAAGAATGGGATTGCGGCGGGGGCGCTTGAGATTGTACATCTTAGAAATCAATTAGGCGGAGGCCCAAGATTGAAATTGTTTTCGTTTTGGAAAACCAAAGATTGTTTACAACTCGTATAAGAGCTCAATGGAATTGGGTACGTTAACTCCCCCCATTCTTAAATGTTTCGTCCCGATACATTTTGAAGTTCTGATAGAGCTCTAATTTCTTCTGACAGTATTTGAATGTTGCTTTCCACTATTTCTTCTGACGGTATTCTTATTGATTTAATAAGTACAAATTTGGTTAATTTATAGCAGAAGTAAAATAACATTAACAATATCAAAATGATTAAAAATAATGTTGTTAATGGTAAGGCCGTATTACCTAATGTTATAAGGGGATTTAAAATATTAACATTATCAAAAGAAAATTGCTTATCATTTGATTGTATATAATCAACTAATTCAAAATCGCTATATCTATGATGCGATATATATTTTAGAATTTTACCCTTATCATTTATGTGGCTTATATTATTTATTACAATTGTGTTGTTGAATATAAGGAGATACGATCCTAACAAAGTAGTATTGTCTACGATATTTTTGCCTGAAACTAATATGGCACCATCCTGAATGATGTCTATTTCTTTGTTTTTTTTCCCTTTTTTTAGTGCAGTTGGCTTTAAAGCCATTAAGTAAATTGGTGAAACAGGTACTCTTTAAATTTATTTGTGCGTAATTGTTAAAAGTTTCACTTTTAAAATTATTCATTAAATAGTATTTCTCCTTACATTCACAAACTTTTTCACTTATAACTAACATTCCATCATTTTGTGAGATGGCTCTTGCATGGTAAAACTTGCAAATATCTTTAATTTGAGGATATTTTATGTAAATGATTATTAAATCTGCATTTCGAATTATTTTAACCGTTGCAATGTCCAACAGATCAGACAGTTCAACATTATGTTTTTCATGCTTATAAATGTCCTCTATTTCGTTTTTATTTAAAATTTTTGTATTGAAAATGTTTACTTTTAAGAGGGTTATGGTATCAACTAAATTTAGTAGGTCAAAAGTTATTAATTTTAAACGATGCTTTCTCAGTATCGTTTCTTCATTGAAGATGACATTCTTTAATGAATTTGATAGCAATTCAATTTCTTTGAAAAATTTGGAATTTATTACAAATTGTTTATTATTATTTTCAGTTAATTCATTTACTTTATTTTGTATTTTCAAAAAGTCGTCATGATCAGGGCTGCCTGCTATCCATTTCCAAATGGTACCTAATTCATTTATTCCCCTTTCTTTCCGTTTTGGAACTAATTCTGAAATCATTAATTTTAATAGACTTAAGTCCATTGATATTTCCCACTCATCGTCTGAATTAATTGATTTGTTGACATATTTGGATTCTTTATCAATTATCTCTCTATAAAAACTCAAATTAGTAATATGGAAAAGTTCAGCGTATGTTTCATAAGTGTAAACGTCTCTGTCGTCTTTGAGCAATAGATAGTCACTATGCGTATAGTCAATTACTTCCGCAGTCGTCAATATAACAAAAGTCAGTATTAGTATATTCGCATACATTTTCTGGAAAAAATATTTAATATTTGATGTTATCTTTATGTATAATTCTGTTTCTATTGTTGATTATAATTTTATTCGGTCGATTTTCCTTAACTACCTGCTTTTTGTATCGGGATTGAAGTTTATTTCTTTCCCCGAATTTCTTTTCATAGACTACTTCTCCTATTTTATAATCTTTTTCTCTTCTATCTTTGTTATGTATCTTAAGCATTTTGGTCTGAGCTTCCTTAAGTAATATTGGATTATGTTTGTGTTCTATTTTGTTATACAATATGTCATATGGCATTTGATTGGTCGTTGAATGTATCGTCAGGTTATATTTCAGTGCCGCCCTTATTATTATTTCTGAATAATCTGTTAGATTTAGTTCATCCTTGATGCACCGCGCTATTTCTGTTAGTGTGGAATGTACCCTTTCTACCTGACCATTTGAGGTGCTGTGTCTGGGATCAGCATAATAAATAGTTAAGTTACTTCTTTGTATGAATGATCTAAATTGTGCTGAAGTAAAGCTTGGTTCGTTGTCAGTCATTAATGATGTTGCTAACGGAAAGTGTTGTAAAATTTCCATTACCTTATTTTCAATGTTTAATTTACTTTGAATTTCCTTGACCACCAAGTATTTGGAATAAGAATCTATACAAGTTATGAATGTTAGGTTTTGGGCATAGTATATGTCTAAGTGTAATTGATCTCCTTCTTTTGCTGGAATGGGAGCTTCCCCAATTGGAATTTTTACAGGGTGTCTCCGATATTTGTTTTTGTTACAGATCTCACAATTTTTTATATATTCTTTTAATTTTTTGTGCAGGTTTGGCCAATAATACAGCTTAGTTATTTGTTTGTAATTTTCGTCTAGTCCTCTATGGGCTCTGCAATGTGTTTCTTCTATAATTATAGCTTTATCTTCTGAATTTACTACATCTTGGAGGAACTTTCTTGTGAAGAGAAATTTATTTATGAAGTTTTCCTTTAGCTTATTTTGGATAAGGTATAAATCTTCTAAAGTGCAGTGTATTCCTGTGGTTAAGTGAGGCTGAATAAATTCTTTTAAAATGATTAGCAGATTGTCAACCGTATCAAATTCAATAATATGTCGGGTATTTTCATAAACTCTTACTAACTCATGAACTGTGAATCTCCCTTGCGCTAATAGTAGCTGCTGTTTAAATTGGTTTAGAGGCTTGCTAGTCTCTTGAATGACGTTTTCGAAACTACTCTCTGCTGAATGCTGAGTATTTATGTCTGATTCTGATTCTGTCTGGTCGACATCACTATCTGTCATATGATTTATTTTAATCCGAGATAACGCGTCCGCTACTACGTTAGTTGAGCCTGGCTTATAAATGATTTTTGGTGTGA